TCGGTCCCCATAGCGTCTTCGGTCCCCGTAGTACCATGGGACAACTTGTGTGTAGTCCCCACAATTACGGAACAAGTGTGCGTGTGTTTTAATGGCACACTGTGTGACTGTGGTATTTTCGTGGGCCCTGACATTTTTCGTAGGCCCAGTGCCTACCTATTGGATAATCCGGGCCCGAGTTTACCAGCCCACATTGAACATTTGAAATAAAAAAGAGTTTGCTCCTAATTCACTTTGCTTCTACTGTACAGCGTATATCCAAGTAAAAAAAGATACAGTACGCAAATAATAAACCCAAAAATTTACGCTAAAATAATCCTTCCAATACCAGGAGGTAAAATAGATCAGAAAAGGGTTTTAAACATAAACTACATTAATTTGAGGCACTGCAGAATTTTCATGCTACAGAACTTTTGTCATAAAATGAAACCATATGAGACGCTTTGCAACAATAACACAAAAAGCCAATCTTATCAGGAAGGAAACATTATTTGCAAGTGATCAAATTATGACAATGCTCACACTTCAATGGCCACCGTTGACATTTGGATTGCAATGTGACAAATTCATGTCTGAAATTGCCCATTGTGTCTCATTTTTGTTGTACACGCACGATGTACAATGTAAACAGCTCAAGAGCGCACTACATGCGTCCCAGGAAATGTGAAACATTTGGTGATTCCAGAGAGGGATCGAGTGAACTCAAATTTTATAAAGTGTCTCTCACTTCGTGCCTTCGAGCTACACGAGACCCTGAACCACAAGCCCCAAAATTCTCCCAATTCATCATACTTATAAAGAAACCACAGTTCACCTGAAAAAAGATGTACGCCCACAGTAGATGTTTACATGTTGCGGGTTCTGGGGTCCCCTTCTAATTGGCAAAATGCCCGAGGGCTGTTCAAATAGTTTTGCCCAATCCCACGCACATTTTAAATTTAAACTCAATATTGCACAGGCCTTTATGTAGGGCACTGCTATCACAGGTGGGAGTAAAACTGGACAAAAAACGTGCCTCTACCAGAATGGCATGGTATGTAGGCGTATAAAAGTTGATCCCTTGGTGGGGCCTCATGAGGGCAAACCATAAAATAAGGGCAAGTTTAATCAAAGGCATCTGGAGTATAGGACCCATGGATTAACCCTAACCCCTTGAGAACTTTTACTAGAAAGTTTCCTGACTTCGTCAAAATCCACCAATTTTGTCATGCAAAATATATGTTGGTGTTCTGAGTCCATCAGAATCCACCAGTGAGTCCATCCAAATCCACAAGTGTAGTACATATGACTCGTGCACACCAAAACATATATCCAAGGAGTTAACTGTTGAGATACTGAATCCATCAAAGTCGGCCCCCAAATGAATACATTGAAAATAAAAATCCTGCAGTACCGCTAGTCTACTGTCCTGAATCCATCAAAATCCCCCAAATTTTTCAATATGGAGGTATCCTGAATCTGATGAAATCCTGCAAAACAGGGGTGTGGATTTTGGTGGATTTTGATGGATTCAGAACACCTCTAAAAAGATTGGAGTGCTGAGAGTTGTATTCCCAGTACGCAGATTTATGACATTTTTATACTGTATTTGAATGCATTTCAATGCGGTACAATTTGGCGATAACAAATTTGATATGTGTATAATATGTGTATATTGTTGATGCCCCCTAACATGGCGCGATCCATAACGTAGCACACTTTTATTTTTTGCCTCTTGAGCCTTGGTACTGGTATCTAGAGCAAAGGTATTACCTCAAATTTCACAGTAAGCAAAATTTCATCGAGCTTCAAAAATTCCCGTTCATAAATCTCAAGTTAACGTACCCACTACAAATGAACTTAACGGAGACATTTATTTTGGCGTGATTTTCCGATTTTATTTGAAGTGCACAACAATGCACTATGAACCATTTTAAAATGCGCCCAAAAATAAGAAAATAATTTTCCGACAAACTTGTAGACGGTGACGCAAGAGGTATTAATAATGGTTCTAATTTGTCAACTTTCAAAGGCTTTAATGTAAACTTGGGATTTACCGAAATTTGTTTCAAAAGTGCCACGTTAGGGAACACTCGGACGATTTTGTGCCCAATTTCTGGACGTCACCGTTTTTAATAATTCAGACTAAATTTCGTCATACTGAAATTGTTTAACAAGGTTCAATACAGTGTTTCCCCTGGCTAATGAACTGAGCGAGGTGGTAGCAATTCAAGTTGATGATTGAATCGAAATTTACGCAGTCTGCAAACTGAAAAGAATGCAGCACTCACAAAAATGCGCGATGATTAAAAAAAAACATCGAAATTGTGAGTTCTTGATACATGGAGGTAAAGGAAAATGCACATATATTACACAAAATGAAAATTGTTCAATTGATATTTCCTTTTTTGCCAATCTTCACAGCGAGGTGGTGATATTGGCAAAAATTGAGCGAGGTGGTCACTGATAGTAGCGAGGTGGGCCACCTCACGTTTGAATGGGCAGGGGAAACACTGGTTCAATAGCAAGCATTATTAAGGTAAAACTACCAGTATTTGACTGAATGAATTAACAGTTTGTCAACAAAGAGGTTTGGCAACTTTGCATGAGAAAAGTGGAGGGAAAATGTCGAAGTGTGCCACGTTCGGGAACTCCACTTTACAGCAACGTGTTACAAAGTTCCAGCAACAACAAGTACATACTTTCCATGCTGACAATTTTGGCTTGAGGTCCTGATTTTGCACTGAGCAAATGTGATCCTGTCCTCAACAGTTGTTTTTTTTTAAGTAGATGAAATTTGTTCCTACCACATTACATAATCATGACTCGCGCATGCTGGTCATCAGCCTCTGGTTTATGTCCCTACCAGTGACAACCAAACCAACCACTGATCAGCAAAACTTCTCATAATAGTTGTGCAGGGACAAAATATGTTTAATTGGTCACATCATGGTCTCAGAATTGAGGAAGGGGTATGACTGGGCACTTAATTACACCAGGGAGCAACAATCTGTATTTCAAGGTTTACAGTCGGGCACTAAGATCACTGAACACTTCGTGGGGCTTGAACCCTCAAAGCCCCCATTGCAGATCAGTAATAATTCATTAGCTTTTCAACACCGGCAAAATCTTTCCAATCAGGTGAATATTTATTGAGTTATGGCCAGTTGAATACAAGTACCGCTTTTTCATTTTGTCCACGGCGACTGATATTTTGACTGCCGCAATATGAACACGGGCCGAAACTTGCATTTGTGAAAAAGGCAAAGAAGTAGAGGGCAGAGACAGAGCAGCACAGCAAACATCTAAGAAGTTAACCAAACAGTCCTTTTCAAGACTACCATTACTGTCAAAAAGAAAAATCACCATTTTTGCAAAACAGAAAAAAAGGAAAAAGAAACAAATAAAGAAAGGTTAAAACATTACAGAAAGCAAACTACCCTCCCCCAAATCCATTACATTCCTAAGAAATGACAATTGAGTCCAAGGACAGATTGAACAATCGGCACTTATTTTGAATTGGCCATCACTCAATAAATATTTACCCGATTGGCAAGATTTTTTCGTTGGTGAAAAGCCAATGAACTATACTCTCCACGTATGCTTCGATATTTGCGAGGTATTTTTTTAAAGCTGTGAAGAAGAGGGGGCTTTGAGGGCTCCGTTTTTTTTATGCACAAATCAAATGTCCCATCAAGTACCCTATAAGATGATGTTATATTTGAACAATTGCTAGAACAATGTTTTGCATTTTGAAGGACGTATCCATGATAGAATAATATGCCCTGATTGGTCTATATACCCAAGACATGTATGTTCTACTGTCCACATTCCATGGCCTCCAAATGAACTGTCTATAATTTGACGGGTATCATCATGTCTTGTCAGGAAGGAACACAATCAGACATGACACATCAAAAATAACAAGAGATTTCATCGCGATTACTAAATTGGGCAATGAGTTGCCGCCCAGTCACATTATTATCCAGCTGATGGAATGAGATCAAGTTTCAATTGCTTCCTGCGATGGCAGAGCAATAAAATCCCAAGGAAGTAACAGACCCTGTCTCCTTTTGTCGTGATAAATCCAGTGCTCTTACATCCTACTCCTAGTTCAGGGGCAAGTTCCTGAAGGACAAGGCTCGAATTTCATATACCGTAAATATCAACTGGAACTCATACAAGTGTTAAAGGCAGGTCATTTGTGGGTTTTTTTGTTGGTTTTTTTAAGTCAACAAAAGCGCTCAACATCTAAAGACGAGTGCTCAACAACTAATTTGATAAAGTTTTAGCTCAGTGAATGCTGTGTATTATTTATGCACTCTTCTCCATGCCCAACCAAATTAGTTCATCATTGTGATTTGTAAGCACTGCAAATCCTCCGTACAACCATAGCCCCATAGCTCCCCGGAGTGGTACAACAGAACTCAATGATCTGCAACCTCCAAAAATAACGCGACATGTGGATTTTACTGCAGCAAACTATCACGTTATCACGTGCAACAGCAACCCATGCAAGCAGCCAAAACACCGCTAAGGCGCTCAAAAACACACACACAGCGCATAGTGCATCAAAGATTGTACGATATCCGGGAATGCATATTGCGCATTCACGGCTGTTTATAGTGTACGACTCAACTGCACCACCAACGAAGTATCGCAACTAAACACAACCCCTCTGGTTCTGGCCGTTACCACCCGCAGCGGGGAGAACCAAAAGCGGGCAGCAGAGGGCAGACACACAACTTTCGTAACAGCCACACGACGGCCAATGGAAAAAGAAAACGCCCGGGTTACCCAAACTTTATAACTATGAATGAACAATATTGACCAATTCCAAATTTTCTCCCGCATTTTGCAGCGGGCATTTGGCGCCCGGGAGCCGACGCACCGGAATCCTTTGTTGAACAAACATTTTTTGTAACTTTGTTCTTATAGATATAGATTTCCATGCAAAGTTATCCAATAACAATTTGAAAGTTGCCTTACCCTGACTTCTGGCTTCAGTCTTTGATGATCCCGCGATGATCAGCAGCAAAACGACGAGGCAAACTTGCAGCAGCATAAACGACCTCCAGGAGGACAACACTGGGCCGGCTTCCATTGTGCTGCAGCAGACAAATTATCTATTTGGCAAAAATTTCAACAAATTGTTTCCTGGATATTAAAATTTCAAAATGGTACAGTCTACAGGGTGAGTAAAAAAATGAAAGCCAAAAGTCGGGACTATTGTTTAAGTGAAGTTCTGCATGTAGTAATTTCAAAATCTAGGAGAAAGCTCATTTCATAAGCTTTCTTTTAGTAAAGGAAAGCTTATGAATTGGGCTTTCATATCCTAGATTTTGAAAGTGCTACAAGCAGAACTTCACTAAAACAACGGTCCTGACATTTGGGTTTCGGTTTTTTTTAATCACCCTGCACATGTTACAGACACCTAGACAGAACCAGTATGTACAGGAAAAGACACACTTGCTCTATGCTCTATGGTTGTACAGCGATACATACTGGCACCCAAGTGTACTCAGACCAACAGCACCTAACCCAACCCACGCCAAGCCCAAGGCCAAATTTCACTACGACAGGTTGACACTGGTAGGGAAAAAGTCCTCTTTTGAACATTTTTATCACCTTACAAGACCAACTGACACTCTCTGCATTGTTACGCATATATCGTTCTGCAGTGGTTGTCTGTGGTGTACATGTATGTCATCGGCCCCTGGGACATGTTCTCAGGATTACAGATTCTCTGAACAGATAGCCGGCTTACAAGTTCGAAAAGGAAAAGGACATAAATCAAATCTCCAATAATCTCATCAGAATTTAAGTGATGATCCTCTTTTGTAAAAAAAAAAAAAAAACACTCTAAAAAAAAACAGAAAGACATTCCCTCCGGTCCTGTTTCTGTACGTAAAAAGTTTAGTGCACTCTTCAGGCCCGGCACTTTTGTTATCAACTCAAGGCCAAATTCAACAACCATGAATGAACAATATTATCGCTTGTCAAAGTTTATTTTGTCAGACCATAGAAAAACACCTTTCTCTGTGGTCAGACACTGAAGGTTCTGTATCCATAGTTTTTCCCCCTTGTTACCAAAATATCGGTGGGATGCTGTGGTCCAATGGTTACGGTGTTTGACTTGTGTGCCGTGGTACATGGGTTCGAACCCTGACAGGGAACATGGTGCTTGTGCGCTTGGGCAAGGCACTTAAAATATTACAATTGCCTCTCTCCACCCAGGAGTATAGATGGGTGAAGGTAGAGACCATATTGCGTGGATCTCGAGCTGCTGCAGGATCTCATTCCTGATGAACAGGGATAGTAATTGTGATGCGCATTCGATCATAATAGATGTGATCAGGCTAAATGAGTCGTTTGTGGGGAATTTTCATTTGGAGATTCAGGCCAAAATAGGACCATTTCATCACATTTCTTGGTTCTCCAACTTCCATAATTTTTGAACTAAAGATGGTACAAGCATACTGTTTTCACAGCAGTAATGCTGAGATTATGCTCTTTTGAAATCTGTTAAAAAAAAAAAATGACCAAGGGTCGACAAACGACTCATTTAGCTTGATCGCATCACATATTATTATGGAATTTGCGCAATATAAATGTATATATTATTAATAAATAATTAATTTTTATCATTTTCACAGATTTAAAGCAACTCCGATTTTGTGTGGGAAATTTATCCTGTTTTTCAGTTCAGGGAAATAAAATTCTTACAACTTTCAATGCATGAGATCGTTTTCCTGTATGGCTTCATCAGGCGAAACAAGTTCATCGTATCCGTACCCAAAATGAAGTGAAATACTCAAGTGAACCTGCTGTGGGCCTGTGGCCTGGGGGCCATTGGGTCCCCCCCCCCCAACTTTTCCCTATGGGGGACCCCACTCACGTCCCACAATAGAGTACTCTTGATCTTGGAGAAGGCCGGGAAAGATTTCCATATACGAAGTTCACTCAACACTCTGTGTACAAACCCTATGAGAGTGGACTGAAAAATTCTAAGTGTTTTCTAAGAAAATGCTTGTATTTTCTCACTGCTCAAATTGACTTTGATGACATGAAATTGCTATCTGGGGGCTTGTTAGTCAACACAGAGGAAAATTAGTGAACTTCGCATATGGTAATCTTGCCGAAGGCCGCCCCTATTGATGAATGAGGTTTAGCGACCCTCCCCCCCCCCCCCACGGGTGGAGCTTTTGCCCCTCCCCCACTTTCCAAAGTGTTCCATCTCCACTGCTGACAGTTCTGTGTTAGCAATACATGGTGTAGGCCTATGAGAGTCCCAAAACTGACCTTGAAAATATGTAACACATGAAAACAGACTAACTCATGATTCAACCCGTGGAAAGAATGTGCTTTGTAGACACCACTTTGTGGGTTTAACTTGTATACAAAGATGGAGTTATAAAGGAAGGAGAGACAAGAAGATTCGGAAAGATTTCCATATACGAAGTTCACTCAACACTCTGTGTACAAACCCTATGAGATTGGACTGAACATTTTTTAAGTGTTTTCTAAGAAAATGCTTGTATTTTCTCACTGCTCAAATTGACTTTGATGACATGAAATTGCTATCTGGGGGCTTGTTAGTCAATACAGAGGAAAATTAGTGAACTTCGTATATGGAAATCTTTCCAAGGATTCCAATAAAATTGAATTTTTTCCCCCCAGATTCATGTCTTACCAACATTTTTGCAATGACCGACCTCTATTGAGATGATACATGATGAATAAAGTGGCGTCAATTTGCAACATTCTTCAATTCCCACATCTCATCACATTGTTAAACACTGTGCCAGCCAGTCTAGTCTTATTTTTAATACTCATAGTCATACTGTTTCAAATTGAAATCACTTGGCCATAAGTGCATGAAGTGCCATGTATCTAGGTGCAAAATATTTTTTCAAAAGTCTCCTTTAAAAATTGATTTCAGAATTCGAACTTGGCTGGTGAAATACAGAGAACCTTGTCTTTGCCTAATGAAAAATGTGAAGATATTTGTCGGCTAATTTAATACTAGGTTAAAGAGTGAGTAAAGACTAAAGTTAGCCTGATTTAGTTTTGCATCTGACCCCGATGTCTCAGTGTACTCATGGAGCAATAAAAACACAGTAAAGTTGGTAACAGGTGCCTAACAAAATGCAGGTGGGAAAACCAATCAATTATCAAGTAAATTGAACACTTTATAAAAATACATCCCAATGTTTTACATCAAGTCAGAAGGGAAGGTAACTCACTTTACTGCTGGATACTGAAATTATCTTGCACGGCAAAGCAATCCCATAGATCACAGCTAGCAAAAGACCCGTCTTTTTACCGGGAAAGTAGGCCTAGTTTTTACTCCACCACGCTCGTCAAGTACTCGTGGTCCGTGGTCCGGTCGTCGATCTCCTATCCTCCAGCATGGTATGAGTAGGCGGCCGGATATGTACGCACGTACGTGTATACACTTCAACCACGTGTAGTATTGGTCTCGCCCATTTGTATTAGGGTAATTCTTTTTGAGTATTACCCCAAAAATGTATATAATTCCACTCCCAGAGAGCACATTCAAAATTTTGCTGATTAAATTTACACACACAGTTAAATGATCATACACCCTTATTTATTAGAAGGGGGATACGTTCAAGTTTACTGGGTAATTTTGTGAATGATGCGCACTCTTTTTCCTCTTAGCATAATGCACCGTCCCAATATTGTAAGCCGCCAAAAGGTAAACTTGTAGGGAACTTTTAGTGCGGTCGTACCGTGCGTGCAGCCGGCCGGTGACATATAAAAAGTCCCAACTTCTCGTTATTTGATTATGTCCGATAAACAAGAATTTATGCAATAGATGATCACATCCACTAAATAATAGCCACATGCAAGGCATTCTTCAAGTACCTTTTTTCTGGGGCAGTTTTTATGAATCACGTTATATGCAAAATGAGTTTCAAGAGTGGCTTTCTTTGAAAGCCGAAAGGGGGCGCTGCTCAATTTGCGAGAACAGGAGGATTTGTTTCACTCGCTGCATTAATCATTGCCCCTAAAATCCTTGTTCTAAATATTCCCCTTATAACAAAAGAATACCAAAACTATTAGGAACAATGTTTTTACCAAAGAATGCCACAGGCATGCGGTGAAATTTGTCGTCGGGAGTTTTAAATGTTAACAACATGCTGTAAATTCAATCTGATACCTCAACTGGAAAATACCAACTTAATTCCACTGGGAAAAAAAACCCACTGTGGCCACATATAAAAAGCAAATGCGCAGAGCGCCTCCATTTTCAATTCCGATGGTTTTAGACCTGCCAATTGACTCCCATAGACCTAAGTGATAATTACGCGGGTTTTTTTTTTAATGCTCACATCTCCAAGGCGTTTGAAATTTTATTAAATACATCTAGTATTTCTTGAGTTGCTGCCCCCAAAACGAGTTTGTTCCGTATTTCAAAATTGAAATTTCGTCCAGTGATTTGTCATGATGACTGTGTAAAATTATGAGATTAAATGCTCACATCTCCAAGGCGTTTGAAATTTTATTAAATACATCTAGTATTTCTTGAGTTGCTGCCCCCAAAACGAGTTTGTTCCGTATTTCAAAATTGAAATTTCGTCCAGTGATTTGTCATGATGACTGTGTAAAATTATGAGATTAAATTTAATGGGAAACCGTCAAACAATACCAAAAAAATATGACCGAAGTAAATACAGTATTTTAAACGCGAAAAATACAAACCGAATGAAAAAAAATCCCAGAAAGTCAACGTCCGTGAAAAATAACACACTCGTTATTTGGGCAATAACCCGAGCCCACGAGGCCGGCCAGCTGTATTAAGTTGTAAGCTCGGCCAGTGATAGGTCTTGATGTGTTACATAAGGAGATTTAATTTCGTGAGAAACCGTCAAACAACTGAAAGTTTCTTTCCAGAAATGTCGCGCTAAATAAGACTAGTGGTCTCGCACCATCAAGACAAACGTGCGGTTGCACCTACTTTAAGTTTCGTTCAATAGAGGGCGCGCCACATAAATAGTGGTCTCCTCAACGCGTCACCACAGATGCTGCACTATTTGAACAAAAAGAACAAACTCGTTTCAGATAAACTACTAAAAAAATACAGGATGTATTAAATTGAAATTTCGTGCACTTAGTTTCCACGATGTGTTACATGAGTGTATTGAATATCACGAAAAACCGTGGAACAATAAATAAAATATGATCGTAACAATGTAGTGTTTTAAAAGCGAAAAATCCACGTTGACTTCCATTCGGATTGCATTTGTCGCGCTTAAAACATTGTGTTGTTACGATCATAATTGTTTCATTGTTTGACGGTTTCTTAATTAATTAAATCTCGCAATGTAAAACATAATGATAAATCAGTGTACGAAAATTTAGTTTACTACATCATGTATTTCAAGAGTTGTCCTCCAAAACGAGTTTGGTGGTGGACATCGAGACCCACTATTTATTCGGCGCGCCCTCTATGGAAAGAAAATTAATAGGCGTGCGAGACCACTAGGTGTGCAGACCTGTGATTGGCCCCAAATTGCCTACGCTAGCCAAATCACAATTTGTGTACCCTCAAATACTTTGCTATTAGAGCATTTTGTGGGCCAATAACTTGAAGGTTTGTAGAGAAGAAGGGCAAAAGGCGTGCACGTGACTGCAAGCTTGTATTTCTGTAATTTGGGTGGAATTGGGCCCTCAAATGGCTCTATTTTTGCAATGGAGTTTAGGCAATCGACTCCCAGAGACCTAAGTGATAATTACACGTACTTCCATTAAAAAAATGCTCACAACTCCAGATCTGCAAGGTGTTTAAAATTTTAATTAAATACATCTAGGCCCTATTGTTTTTTGAGTTGTTGCCCCCAAAACGAGTTTGTTCTGTATTTCAAAATTGAAATGTCGTCCAGTGTTTTGTCATGATGATTGTGTAAAAATATGAGATTAAATTTGATGTGAAACCGTCAAACAACAAAAAAGAATATAACCGAAAGAAATATAATATTTTAAACGCGAAAAATACAAACCGAATGAAAGAACAGAAAGTCAACCTCCGTGGAAAAATCATGAACCACTCGTTACTTGGGCAATAACCCGAGCCCACCAGGCCCAGCTGTATTAAGTTGTAAGTTCGGCCAGTGATCGGTCTTGATGTGTTACATAAGAAGATTCCATTTCGTGAGAAAAACGTCAAACAACAACTGAACGTTTCTTTTGAGAAAGGGCGCGCTAAATAAAACTAGTGGTCTTGCACCGGAACCAAGGGAAACGTGCGCACGTGCCTATTTTAACCCTAAAAGGGCCGGGTTATTTTGACCATCTCTCAGCCGGGGGAGGGGGCAGATTCCGCCCCCCCCCCCGATCTCCGCCATTTTTTCTTTAATATTTAGTTGATTGTCTCAAGGGATTTTTTTCACAATCACTCGTGACAACACTGAGAATAAAGTAAATACGTCGGTGAAGGGCAAAACACAATACCAATATCAATCACCCCGACAAAAATTCCATCTTTTGAAAATATTAAGGTGCAGGCGTATCATGGGTGGTTTATCGGAAAACCAGTCCCTGATTACTTTAATGTGTGTCTTATTCATTAACATGAGATAATAATTACCCTCAAAAGAATTGAAATAAAACCACCAAAAAAGAACCTACAGTATTTTGTTTTAAATCTTTAGGCCTACATTAACACTTAGGCTCACTCCTTGTCCTGAAAATTGAGGTTTTGCTACTAAACAAAACCAAACAAACATTCAAAGCCAAAAAAATAATATCGAACTTTTACAAATCGTATCAAACCAAGTCACCCAAACTAACTACAAAATAATACGATATCATATTTAATTTTCTCCAATCCAGTCAAAACTAATCTATCAAATTAAGTACACTAAATGCAGGCTAAATTAAAACTGAGACCAATCTATAATCGAACCGAAGCAATCAAATTTAATCAAACTGAATTTAATCGAAATCAGCTTCATGAAATGTGAACGAGTGTAGGCCCTATAATGACAAAGGATTCTTTAGGCCTTTAGGATGAAAAATTAAACAAACATTAAAGGAATTACAAACAACCCAAACTTGTGTCAATTGCGTGCTGAAAAAAACTTGCGCAAGCAACCTAAGAGCTAGTGCCGTATACAAAATCAGTGTATTCCTTCATGACCTGACTACGCATTTCGAGAAAGCCAAAATCAGAACCTGGGTAGAATTCGTCAATGGTCTGGTTCTCGCTCACGTAATCGAAATACGGCCAGTACGTAGTGTCGCCAGCGTCGTAATTGTAGCACTGAATGGTGGCGCAGTACTCTTTCCCGGGGTTGCGCAGCTTGTGGGTCTGGTACCAGTTGCGGTTCAGCCAAGTCGCGTCTCCTGCGCACGCCTCGAACGTGAACAGGGGGTCGTGGGAACTGGTCTCCGACTGCTTGTTGTAGATGTCGATGGTGATGGACCCGAACAGGACCTTGATGACGGCATTGGCGTTGCCGTGGTTGTGGATGGGGCTGTAATGGCCCCCTGGCCAAATCTCCAGCACGTACGGGATTCCCGGAGATTTGCCGAGACTGCTGCCCAGCGTGACGCGCAAGTAGGTCTCGTTTGGGTTGTCGCCGAGCTCGCCCACTTTGCTTTCGATCTTGTCCTTCAGGATGCCGTAGGCCAGGCTGTATCGGATGGCGTCCGATAGTAGCACCTTCTCCCCCTCTACCTCCGTGTAATTCAGCTCGCAGTTGGCCACGTTGGAGTACAGCTCTTTGCAGGCCGCCGGCAGGCTGGCAGAGAAGATGTGGTCGCCCCTGTCCAGCTCGAACAGGTTGGCCTTGGAGCTGTCCATGACCGTCGGCGGGAGGTTGCAGATGAGAGGCTGTTTGTCGAACTCAACCATCGGCTCCGTCACTTCGGTTCCCCTTGCTAAAAAGAAACGATTTTTTTCCAGGAAATTGCCTCATCTTTAACAAATACAAAGGCTCTCAATTATTATTTCTTGACGGGCAAAAGCGAACTAATATTAATCCCCACCCAGCCCCCCACAATAAAACACTTCCTGTCCATAACCAATCCTACTCTTTTTACTCCATCTTTTTACTTATACCATTTACTTTATCAAAGCCTAGACCGAATTCCCGGACAGAAAACAATGTACCGAAAATAATCCGGCAAAGACATGTAATAGTTGTCAAAAATAACATGTCCTACTTTAGATCATCAACAACTCTGTTGTTTATCATACGCCATATGAAAAAAATACTCGGTTTCAGAATGTCGATACAGCACTGGAGACGGAAGGCGCGTGCGGCCGAAAGCTCCTGAAAGAATGCAGGATCGCCCCTGATGTCATTGCTCATGCACCTCCTCGGTCGCGAGTTTCGCCAAACGATTGAGGAGGTGTGCAATGACATCAGGGGTGATCCTGCATTCCTTCAGAAGCTTTCGGCCGCAGCAAGCGCCTTCCGCCACCGTCTCCAGGTGTTGTGATCGACATGTAGACATTGGAGGACGCCAAGTCGGAAGTGGCAGATTCTGAAAGTGAGGATGTTTTTTTTCGTTTGGCGTTTAAATCTCACCCTCTTGTACAAAGCTGATGAAACTCACTCCATAAAATGTATCATGCTTTTATTTGCATGCATGATCTAAAAGTTTGGTTTCATTCCACTGGTAATCAACAGAGTTTGCTCAGCACACTTTTTATTTTGCTAGGTTTCTGTTGAAATTTACCCCGATGGTAAAGCATGAAGTGTTTTGTTAGATCATAATTTGCTGGTTAAACTTGTGGTTATATTAATGTTTGTTTTTCCATTGCTATCTAAGTTAATGTATACTTACCGGCATACATCTGTATGCTGGCTTTTTCGTCGTATTGCCTGACGAACTTCTGAACCTCGGCGGTGAAGAACGGCTGCAAGTCTTCCCTGATCTTCATCTGGTCCTCCTCGTCCGTGACCCCCTCCAAGAAGTCGTGCGTCATGAGCGTGCTCTCCTCCATGCGGTAGCCCTTGCCGTACTTCAGCACCAGGTTGTCGCGGTCGTAGCTGTACCAGTACGACACCTTGCCTTCCTCCACCCCGCACCTGGGCGTGTCGGCCTCGGTGACCCGCCTCAGCTCGGTCGGGTTGGCGTCTCCGGCGCTGTTCATGACGAACGAGGCGTAGCCCACGCCGACGTGCAGAGCCAGAACGTTGCTGCTTGGGTCCTCGTCCTCCACGCAGGCGTAGAAGGGCATCATGTGGCGGTCCGTGTTGAAGATCATCACTCCCTGGCCGTTCACGGGGAAAGGCTGCCCCCAAACGCACGGCAACTGGCGATCGTCCGTGACTGGTGTCGCAGCTGCAAACAAAATTGTAGATTTTCGACTGTCAACCCGAAAATAGATTTTCACTGAAACAGAACTTCACTAAAACAATGGTCCCGACATTTGGGTTTCGTTTTTTATATGACTCACCCTGTATTGGATATGACTTAACTCACCTTTGGCGGAGGCCTTAGAAAGCTCGCTTCGCGGTGATGCGGCCTGGCGCAGGGCCGGTCGCTTTGCACGAGACTGGTTCAGCATGGTGACGGAAAAGATGCTGTTGACGGAATTAAAAAGGAAAAAGTGCTTGAGGTTTCTCAAATTTTCACTTTGAACACTTTATATGAGAGGGATCCGAGTGAATAGTTTTGGTTGTGATACAAACTACTCCTCGTCTAAATACAGTAACATGATGTCATAAGGGTAGCAAACTACTCCTCGTCTAAATAAAGTAACATGATGTCATAGGAGAAGTGCACTTCTCCTCTAACTGTAAATTAAGTTTCATTGATAAGAATGATGTCATAAATATTATTAGCAAAGGGAAGCGTGCTTCTCCTCTAACTGTAAATTAAGTTTCATCGATAAGAATGATGTCATAAATATTATTAGCAAAGTGAAGCGTGCTTCTCTCTTTTAAATACAGTAACATGATGTCATAGGAGACGTGCACTTCGCCTCTTTTAAATCTGTGGTTTATAAATTATATTTTGTTAAAGTTACATTATTGTGTTTTAATAAAGTTAAAACTTTGTTTTGTAAACCTAAGAAAACGCTGTTTGTTTATTTATTTGAAAGTAATGATAGAGGGCGCATCAGTCGCTATGAGTCTGTGTTGAGATCTCCAAGAGGGCGACTGTAAATATTAAGAGCCTGGCCTGATTCCGAGACTGAGATATTGGGAGAGTGATATATTGGGAGGGAGATATATTTGGGGAGAGGGGGGGGGGATATATTTTGGGGAGGGGGATCTATTTTGGAGGGGGGGGGGAGGGGGATCACTGGGAGGGGTAAAGTCTGGTACCCTCCCCCTCCTTCTACTGCACAGACAGTTTTTTGGCCGGTAATTTTAATCAATCAAGTAATAATATGAACTCAAAGCACACTATTAATCAGACCTCAACTGCTAGTATATTTGGGGTCATTTTGTTTATATAGTGCAAGAAAAAAAAACACTAGACAGCCGGACTAGTGCAGTCACACACAGCACTAGACCGACGCTAAAATCACTAGACACGGTCCACGGTCCAGTGGATATTTCGAGCCGGCCCTGTACTCTATAGGCTGCCGGCAACCGACGCGTCGCAACGTGTGACTTGTCAAAGATCAACTCATGAAATAAATAGCTAAAAATGTGTGAGAACCAGACGCCAGTCACGCTTTTGATAGATCCATGTGGGCCGATCGTACTTGACCTTCCACCGGTAGCTCGTTATGCGAAGCAGCAAAAATGTTGTTAAAAGTATTTTTGAAGTAGGCTGCCCATTTTCGTACTTCGTTCGTAAAAGAAATATCCTGCACACACAATGCCCGAATTACCCATCCCCTGGGACCTCGACATGATGATTCCTACATGATTGAAGGCTGATCTCGGGATGATTTTATACATGAGAATGCCATGCAATTCATACTAACACGACACCTTTGAAAATAGCTGCAACATAATCCAAGACCATGAAGCTATAAACACTGTAGCCCTACATATACATTTTCTGTGTTTTCTCAATATGCATAGCTAACCACTGAGCCGAAACTCCAACAGGTTTGGTACTTTGTGCACCCTGATAGTAGTATAAGTACCTCGTATACTAAAGATTTTGAGCAATTTTGTTGTTACGAATGAAAACAAATTGCACAAAAGCTAATCATTCAATTTGGCCTACCTATATTTAACATGCTTCAGCGAGTTCCAAAATGTACAGGATTTTAAACTACAACCTAATATGTGTGATGGTTTAGCCGGGTATGTTCCCCAATATCCATGTTCCCAAAAAATACCTATGTTCCCGAAATCCAATACTAACCCTAACGATTTTGGGGAACATAATGTATTGGGGAACATAGGTACACTAACGTATTGGGGTAGCCCCATAAATCGTCGCTTTGCTCACGAAGTGACAAAAACCTCGAAAATCGATAATTATTCGAGTTTGAGTTTTACTGGCCATTTTATTAAAGTTGTCTCAAGGAACAATTTGACCAAGTTTCAAGGCAAAATCTTGTTTACTCTCTTAATTATTGTAAACAAACAATTGACAAAAAGCCTGAAATCGGAAATTTTCATTTTTACGAAATGTAAAAAAGTGTAAAATGTTCTCACGAAGTGACAAAAATTCACCTCGTGAGCAGGGCCGGAGGAATTATACATTGGTTTACACCACTGATCTCTATATAAAGACTGGATAGCTAATACAGAGCCGCACAATGTACGAATTTGACGCCATATTGGTGAGACCGGCTGGTGATCTACAAAGGACAAGTTGCCGTTTTTATAGACAGCATGATTTCTTTTGTAACGTCGCGGTTCACTTGACTTATATTTTGACCACCACCACTGACCAAGGTTAACTACAATTTTTCTAACGTCGTGGTTACTAAAATGCCGCAAATATAACTTTTTCGGCGTTTTGAAATAATAATCACTACGGAAATGTGTCCCTTTTAGAACATCATAATATGTGTACATGACCAAAATGCGCGTCAACTGTTGATACAACGCGCGCGTATTTACGCGTAGAACGTTCGTATTATACGCGGCCATCTTCGTGAGACTGGGGGCGAATAGACCGCTTGCAGACGCGTTCGATAATTGACGCGCTAAGGTGAGCGACGCCATGTTATGGGACAAAATGTGCGTGAATTGATATACGCCTGTCCCACAACATGGCGTCGCGCGCCTTCGCGCGTCGATTATCGAACGCGTCTGCAAGCGGTCTATTGGTCAATATGCAAAGTCTACTGTGTGAATGTTGTATGCATATCCGCTATCCAGTCTTTATATAGAGATCAGTGGTTTACACGCGGCGGGATGGGAGCATACACGCGCGTGCGAATGTTGAAAAAGAACAGACGCGCGCGTGCTCACCCATCGTATGACGCGCAAAAGTAACAAAATGTCGTCAAAAGTACAAATAGGTAAAGCCTCTGCGATTCATGTTCCCACGAAGTGACAAAGAGTCAGGTTGCATACGGTTGAAATCGTGACCGACTGGTCCAAAGCTCCAAACTTGGCAGATAGATTCTTTTAGCCCCAGTGAAGATATTTAGAAGGGGTGACACCTGAAATTTCTTTTTGGGAAGAGTGCCTAATGTGCATAAAGCGTTAATCCCTGTCGTGTAATATATCTATTCCCATATTTGGGTAGATTTTTTTATTTTTGAAAGGTATATTTTGGGAATTTACTTGCATATCCTTACTTAAATAACATTTTCTAAAGAATATCGGAGACTTGAAGATTATGAGGACATAATAAAGATCCATTTCCTTTTCCCTCAGATATTATCAAGTAGTTTGCCAAACCTCAGTATTGATGAACTTCAAATTCACAAAGTTACTTAATGACACAGTTATCCTAACAAAAATAAAAGGGAAATCATGTGAAAAATTACATCATCTTGATATTTAGCCCACAAAAACAAAAAGGGGGAAAATGAGGTGTCCGTAAATTGGGCTAAAAATTACTTGAAGCCTGACGTGGAGGACTTAATCAAGCTCCCCGTTTTTGTGTTCTGGGCTAAATATCACAATGTTGTTGTCCACATGATTTTCCATGAAGTCTTAATCGAGTAACTGTGCCAGTAAGCAACTTGGTGAATTTGAAGCTCATCAATACTATTTGGCAAGACTAATTGATTATATCTGGAGACAAGGTTAATGCGCGCAACTTAGTAGCCATTTCGAATCGTTACTATGTCCTCATAATTATCCAGACAGTCTTAAATGTTTTAGAACATGTTATTGAAGTAAGGATGTGTAAGTGGAATCCCCAAAATGTACTTTTCAAAAAAAAAAAAGTGTACTCAAATGTGGGAATAAATGTATTACACGGTAGGGATTAATGATTGAAGCAAATTAGGCACTCTTCCCCAAAGAATTTCAGGGTCACCCCTTCTAAATATCTTCTCTAAGGCTATAACAGCATATTTGCCAAGTTTGGTGCTTTGGACCACTTGGTCACGATCTTATCAAAAATTGGGTCTAAGCCACCTGACTATCATGAGGGGAAAAGAATAGGCAGGAAAGTCGAAAAAACAGACGCACACTTTGACACATGCTTAGCTTTGGAGAGTCCCAGACGGTGTATAAGCTGTGCTCGCTCGGTCCAATATTTGAATATAATTTTGGAAGTTTAGAAGAGAAATCGGTCCTCGGATAGGGCAATCATCGCCCGATGAATAGTACATGGAAGCGCACATTATTAGAAAACTGTGCATTCTTTGGTGACAGCATTGTCTTGGTTCTCCAAGAAGAAAGCGAGGTAAAAGACAATATATACATTCATAAATAGTTAAACATATTTGCGTTTACACTCACGTAGTATTAGTATACCTGGCGTAAATGATTTTAATCATAAATGGCATAAAGCTAATAATAATTTACTAAATTTGTAAAGTTTTGATATTGTTTATCAATTTATAATAACAAACTGGAGGTTGTAGGAACAACCACACGGTGTTGGGCCATGGATTACCGCAAACTTTGCCACACACATCAACTCAAAATATGCATGTTTAAATCCATGTTTGACTTTTCAACATGCCGCCAGAGGGCGCTCTAACATTTGATGACGTCACCTGTAATATTGTTGTACAGTACTGCCCAGACACTCGAATCGATGAAAGCAAGTTCGCATCTTCTGCCAATTTCGATTAAAAAGGCACTTCCGGTTTTGACCGGAAGGAAGGGTCACGTGATTTTGCACTTAATACCAAAACTGAAGACCCTGCAATATTGTATCGATTGCCATAAAAAACAAATCAAATCTGTAGCAGTTGATTTTATATTGATTTTCAAAGATTAAATCTAGAAATCTTTGATTGCTTGTAATACCATACTTGATGACGTCATTATGACGTCATTACCAGAAAGTTCAAGAGCTATTTTAACTGTGCTATATACAGCCAAATCTTGATTATATCTATCACGGTATAATTTCTAGCAATTTTTGAAAGTTTAAAGGTCTTTTTATTGTAACTTCCGGTCTGATGACGTTATCATTTTTTTTCGCGCACAGGTGTTGCCTGCATTATGGTCATCATGTACATTAACTTTGAAGC